TAAGGAGTTTTTTGACAAACGCTTATAGTATCCTTAATACCCACACTACAACGATTCCGTTTAACTTCTCTTATCTGACTACATCATACTTCCATGAGGACCTTAGCTGCTGTCCTATTATGAGTCGAGTGTAGTCACTTGCTTAAATTTAATTGTTTATCCTAATGAGAAACTGTTTAAATGACCAATTAAAGTGAATGCCTTTTTGGCAGTTTTACAGGGGGCAGCTATTTAAATCTTTTAATTAAATCATTGTTCAGATTTCTTTGTCCAAATGTGCAATTAAAAAAATACACAAAGTATAGCAGTGGTATCATTTAGGGAAAGTTCACAAACATGTTAAGGCGTACCATCCAACAATGGTGGTCACAGTATATAACAACATGGCATAAATTTATAATTAACTTGTATTGTTTTTACATAAGATTTAACCAATGATTTTTTCGTAACTTAATTTCGTTTGATTTTTCATTCAACTTTAATACAAGAAACTTTAAAACGTTTCCACTGAAATTCTAGGATATCTATACAAAACCCGCTTCTGCAAGAATTATTTAGAATAAAGTTCGGCATTTTTTATTAAATAGCACAAGAGGTACAAGAATTTCAGCTGGATGCTCAGTTAGGTCTGGAAGTTATGCTTATCGAACATCTCGACGGATGAACATTTATACGTTAAATAATTTTAAAAACCTGTAAATCTCCCTCTCTATTTCTCACTTGCTCCGGCCCCTTACTCTCTCGATCTCTCTCTCTCATTTTTGATCAGGGCCAGACATCATGACAGACCCCTATCACATAAATATGATACCAATGGCAAACATTGCCCCGCTTAACTAGGCCTGTTCTCGACGTTATCAGTCTCACCTGTTTCACACCCACCGAGCCAATGATCCTGGAGTGTTTGCCGTGGTGACCTTATTTCTGCAAAGGGCCTAGGTGCCTGGGACCTAGACTGATCTATAAGGTAAGAACAATGTTAGAAGTTAGCTTAATTTTGACATGTAGAAGCACTATCACGACCATTCAAGGTTTCGCATCCAGGCAGCTGTTAGTCAAATAGTAATGCATGCTTCGCGTCACTTATTGGGCTACGGAAATTTGGTTTTACAGGTGAAAACTTAGGAAGGAGTTCATTTCTATTTGATTTACAAAAAGTGTTAATTGTTCTTTGAAAAAGACGAGAACTGGGGATGAGAGAATGATATGTATTTATTGTCTGGGGGAGGGGATGGGAGGCAATTCGGATTTTTTTTATGGATTCAGAAGTTTCTTCTTGTTAGTTTCATAGACCAGAGAAATGTACTCGCACTGACGTCACCAGACAACCAAATTGTGTAGCAACCCCAACAGAACATAGAATTCTTAATGCCATTTCAATCAATATGGTCTCGAACTTGGTTAAAACCTACAACGCCAAGACACTAAATAGACTAATTCAGACCAAGAATTTGGAGGTGGGGGTGTATTCACGCCAAGGCTGATATAAGCATGGGGTCAGAATTATAAAATTATTGAGGGCACTTTTGTATTCGAAGATTTTAAACATTGTCTATGCAAAAAAACCACACTTATCTTTATCGCAAGCTCTTTTTTTTGGCAATCACATGGCAAACAAAACTAAAACTACCACATTTTACGCCTTAAGCTTACTAGTAGTAACAGAAGTAAGTGTCCCTTTCGATAAAATGAAGTGAATTCCGTCGGACATATATGCGTATCCATATCACACAAAGGAAGACTATATATATTCAAATGATATGATAGACTTCAAAGACATTTCCAGGCACCTGTACTATTGCACAACCTGTCAGCATGGCACCTCCAGCCGACACCATACTCCGTCCGCTTGGTCGTATAGAAAACGTTATGAATGTCATGCATGAGCACGGCAATACAACCAACGTGTTTGGCGTGTGGATCAACACAAAGACTCACGTGCCAGATGACACATGGGAGCGCTCATTGATTCTGCTTCAGAAGAATTTTCCAACGCTGCGACTGCGAGTGGTGCAGCAGGATGGCAAAAGGCATTTCAAGTTCATGGAAGATCCTCACGTCGACTTCGAAGCTCAAAATTTGAGCAAACCTGACAATTGGAAGGATCTGTATGAGAACTTGCTGCAAGTAAGGTTTGATACTGACAAAGGTCCTCTGTGGAAGGCCAGATTTTTGCGTCTACCTCAAGTATCGGACAAGAACGAAGGCGGCGGGGACAGGGAGTTTGGCCATGCCAATATCCTAATGTTCGTTTTCCATCATTGTATTACAGATGGGAAGTCAAACATCATCATGTTGTCTCGCCTTGTCCATATTCTCAACGCTGTATTAAGTGGAGAGACAGTAGAGGAAAATGATATCACTACCCTGAAACCAACGATAGAGCACCTAATTCCAGAAGAAAATTTGAAGTTTCGTTTGAAGGATTACCTAGAGCTTGGAAAAACTATCTACCATAATATGTTTCCCCATAAGAACTTGTTCTTGAAGAAATTTCCAGCCCCGCAACTTACCGAAGGCGACACGGGCCGCATGAGGGTTATTCCTTTGGAGCTGACAGAGCGTGAAACGGAGAACCTTTTGGTCAAATGTAAGGAACACGGTTCAACCGTCAACGGTATGTTTTTGTCTGCTGCCAACATTGCAATGTCACGTCTGATCAACGAAGGCGCCACCCCAAGTTCTATGACATTCCACTCTACGCATGCCGTTACCTTGCGCCGGTATGTTCCAACGGACTTGAGCAACACCCTGGGATGTTTTATAGGCCTTCACCAAGTCGTCATGACCACTCCAGCTGATACAAGTGACCATTTCTGGCCGCTTGCCGCGCAGGTCACCAAGAACATCCACGACGTTTTGGACGATGGTAGATATCTTCAAGAGTACCGTGTGATCCTAAAATTATTCTCTGACGAAAACGTCAAGAAGATTCTTACGACGAAGATGTGCGATAACGAGTACGAAGCATCCAACATCGGGGACTACGACTTGGTATTTCCAGCGGAGGATAAGCATGTGAAGGTCACCAAGATCGTCAGTTCTACGGCCATGCAGGACCTACACACGCCATTCGTGCATTACTTGCGCAAGTTCCGTGGGCGGTTTCTGTATAACCTTGACTACGCCACTAACTGGACGTCCACCGAAAACGCGCACAAGTATGCTAATATGACCGTTCAGCTGATGAAGGAAGCTTCCAAAAGAAACATGTGCACGTCATCCTGTATGGACTCTAACCTCCCCGCTAGTTTGTTACAAAGACGTATCGGTATGTCTTCCAAGGCTACTCCCAGTGTGCGAGGGCTCATACGCTTCAGCAGAATTCTGTGTTACGCACGATGAGGAACTCTGCATAAATTGTGCTTCTCTTTAACAGACCAAGGTTTCGACATTATTTGAGTACATTCCCTAATATAACTAATCAACTGCTAGAAAATTTTAATTAGCATTCCCGTGATTGGAACAAGACTCAGAGGAGGGGGAGGTAGGGGATACTACATGTGCTTTTTACTTATATATCGTACCAATAATTAAAAGAAAAAAAAACGGATAGTGCCATATAACACCCCACGTAGCTGTTGTTAATTGAAAGTTCAATTGGTAAAATACTTGATACAATATGAGCCGATTGCCAGGGACCAATATTAAAAAGGCTGTAATCAATATATTAAATTTTTTCATACATGGTATTAATTCAATCAGTCTTCCTTTGTCTGATTTTTTTTCACACTTGGGAAGCTAAGATGTACAAGTAGCTTCAGGTAATATTTCACATCTAGCAGGTCAAACTTTGACGGCCTTTGTTCATCATGCGGCTTGATTACATGGAATAATTGGGAGTGCCCACCATGAGGGGGTGGACTTGTGTCTGAAGAAACCAATCAGTTTATAAGTTATGTGCTTGACAATTTGATTGATAAAGTTAAGCATAAAAATATGTTAACTTATATCTCAAGGGGGAGACTAGGAAAGAGACTAGAGAGGTCTGGTTTGAGGCTTGGATATGACCATGCTTGTACAATGTAACTTTTCGTTTAGCAAAAAAATATATTCTGTTGAAGTTGCAACATGGAGTTGTTTCATTTTTTTCCTTGTGCAGATCCTAAAACATAGAACCCGGGAATCACCGTAGCAGTTTTAAAGAATTTGTTATCCAAAGATGAGATCCCAATGTGCCCAACTTATGGGGTTTTATTTTTAAGGGTTATTAAAGGTATTGTGGGGGTAGGGTGGTCATAAAAAGGTTTCCTCACAAGTAAAAAGGACCCTCACACGAGTGAGATCGCAGCCAGTAAACGTTAACCCTGTCTCCGCTTAAGATTTCATCTCTTTACATAAAAAATAAAAAGGATTCTTATAAAGGTGTTTAATGCATGATGAGGCTTCAATGAAAGAGCAATTCCTACCCTTGCGCTCTTTCCTGGTTTATCCATGTAGTTCTACATGTTTTATTCAGTAAATAGTATATAATACAGACAACCCCCTTTCCTCACGCAAAGCAAAATTCGGACGATATAGTTGGTGTTAACTTCAAAAACGAAACATTGGTATATTTTGATACACCAAACTTAAATCTTACAAAAATCGTCTTTTTCATTCTTCACTTATATAAGTTGTACGTTAATTTTTTTGAAATTTTTCTTCTAACTTTTTGCAAATAAACAAAATTCACCACAGTTTTTATGGGGTCCGGACGTTGTATTTGGTAACTTTATAGACTGATGCATACTCCAAAAGTACATAACACTTATTGAAAAAATTGTAAATTCTCCCCCTCCCCCTTTCTTTCTCTCATATTCGATGGGTGCCAGGCCTATCCCTTAAAATTGAGATTACAGTATCAGACAGACAGTGCATTGCCCCGGTTAAGAAGGCTACGACGTTGTCAACCTCATCAGTGTTTTTACACTCACTGAGTCAATAATCCTGGATGAACTGGGAGTCCGGGGTGACATTACCCCAGGCCAATAACTGGGTCCAAGGACATTATCTAGAACATTGGGAGACCCAGACTTCTCAGTGGCGTATAGAACCGTGAAGAACAGGTAAAATAATTAAAACAGTTAAAGTAACTTGTTAATGTATTATGCACTTAAAACCTAAGGGTAAATCTGCAATGTTGAAGCAGCATCTAGACAATTCACGACTTAATAGCCGGATGGCTGCTTATCAAACATTGCTTCAAGGCACTTGTTGGGCCACGTAGAAATGGTTTTAGAAGAGAAATCGCAGGAACCGATTTGCCTTTTTTTTTAAAACTTTAGATATTGAATGGCAGAACCAATTAAATCTTGGGAATACAGAGATTTTTTTCCTTTTGGGAGGAGTGCGAGGCAACTCGGGGTTTATGAATTCATAAGCTTCTTCATAACATAAGAGAAATTCTTACCCGCACCGACGTCACGAAACTACCTTCTTATGTAGGGAGGCCCATGGGAACACATGGCTATTAATGTTATATCAATCAAGATGGTCGTATGCATGCCTTAAAGCTGCGACACCAAGGTACCATCATCTACTTCAGATCAAGAATGTAAGGGAGGGGGGGGGGCATTGATCAAGAGTTCACGGCGAGAAGAGGCGGGGTTCAAATATTTGATGGGGGAGTTTTATTCGAGGATTTCACGCTTTCATTTTCTAAAATATCTTCTATAGTTATCAGAAAGTCACTTATGTCGCCAGCAAATGGTGAACAACTTATACGTATGCATACCACATTTTTACACCAAGAACGACTAGCCATCAAACCTTGTATTGGTATTAGGAAGAAACTTTTCCATGCCATAAAATGAATTGAAATCTGTCGTACATATGCATTCGTGAAACGCATTTTATAGAGTAAATTAGCAAAAACAATTTCAAAAACATTTTCAGGTACCTGTGCTAATCACTGACTAATACATCTTTCCACCAACCGCCAGCATGGCATCCCAAGCTACCATACTCCGTCCTCTTGGTCGAACAGAAAACGCAATGAATGTCATGCACGAGAACGGCAACATCACCAACGTATTTAGCGTGTGGGTCAACACGAAGACTCATTTGCCAGATGCCACGTGGGAGCGCTCTCTAACTCTGCTTCAGAAGAATTTTCCAACGCTTAGACTACGAGTAGTGCAACAGGAGGGCAAAAGGCATTTCAAGTTCATGGAGGAACCTCACGTCGACTTTGAAGCTCAAAATTTGAGCAAACCTGACGACTGGAAGGATGTCCATGAAAACTTGCTTCAAGTAAGGTTTGATAGTGTCAACGGGCCTCTGTGGAAGGTCAAGTTTTTGCGCCTACCTCACTCAACGGGCAAGAACGAAGGCGGTGAGGACAGCGAGTTTGGGCATGCCAATATCCTCATGTTCGTGCTGCATCATTGTATTACAGATGGGAAGTCAAACATCATCATGCTTACTCGTCTCGTCCACATTTTGAATGCAGTAATAAGTGGAGATACAGCATCCAACTATAGAGCACTTACTTCCAAAAGAAAGCATAAAGTTCCGTTTGAAAGACTATCTTCAGGTTGGAAAAATGATCTATCATAATATGTTTCCTCATGAGAATTTGTTCTTGAAGAAATTTCCAGCACCGCAACTAGCTGAAGGCGACATGGGCCGCATGAGGGTTATTCCTTTGGAGTTGTCAGTGCCTGAGACGGAGAACCTTTTGTTCAAGTGCAGAGAGCATGGTTCCACTGTGGAAGGCATGCTCTTATCAGCCGCCAACATTGCAATGTCTCGACTGATCAATGAAGGCGCCACCCCACTCTCTATGACCTTTCATTCTACGCACGCCGTTACCTTGCGCCGGTATGTCCCAACAGACATGAGCAACACCCTGGGGTGCTTTATTAGTGTCCACGAACTCGCCTTGAACACTCCAGCTGATACAAGTGACCAGTTCTGGCCGCTGGCTGTACGAGCCACCAAAGAAATCCACGCCGTATTGGACAATGGCGGACTTCTTCAAGAGTACCGTGCGATGCTAAGATTATTCTCTGACAAAACCGTCAAGAAGATAATGGCAAACAAAGTAGCTGAAAACGAGTATGAAACATCCAACATCGGGGACTACGACCTGGTATTTCCAGCGGAGGATAAGCATGTGAAGGTCACCAAAGTCGTCAGTTCTACGGCCATGCAGGACCTACACACGCCATTCGTGCATTACTTGCGCAAGTTCCGTGGGCGGTTTCTGTATAACCTTGACTACGCCACCAACTGGACGTCCACCGAAAACGCGCACAAGTATGCTAATATGACCGTTCAGCTGATGAAGGAAGCTTCCAGAAGAAATATGTGCACTTTATCTTCTGTGGCCGCAAACCTCCCTGCCAGTTCGTTTCATAGACGCATCGGTATGCCTTCTACGCCTAGGGTATGCGGGTTCATACGCTTCAGCAGAATTTTGCGTTACGTACGATGATGAACTCTCCAGAAATTGTCTTTGGCAAAATTAAATTTCCACGATATATACCTTTCCCAATATAGACATGTTAAATACTAGAAATTTATAACCTTCAATGCAGCCTCCGTGGACTGGAGTAAAACTATGTAACTTTTATTTAGGCTTTATACTTGCACTTTTGTTGGATTCTAAAATGCTTTGTTCAGTTCTCAGTACCTGTAGTTCATTGAAATTGCAAGTAGATTAAATACTTGCTAAGGTATGAACCGACTAATACCGCAAGTGGGCCTTAAATTAACTGAGTTTTCCATTTGTATTTCCATCTGTACACACTTAAATAAAACAATAATTTCAGTGCCTTTAACGCGTTGTCATGTTACACGTCAGCAAGATTTCCAACTTCCACGCTCTCTCTCTCTCCTGGTTTATGTCCATTTCATGTGTTAGGACTACATGTTATGCAAAGTTTTTACACGGATATCCGTCCGTCCAGGTCTTTAAATTAGGTCTATTTACGACCAGAAATTTGAAGGAAGTGAAGTTTTAATGCTTTTTATTTAATGATGAGGGTTTGTTTAGTTTGGTTTATGCCTTGGCATGTCGACTTTGTTTGATAGAAATGGTTTATATGAATTATAGTCAATCCACGTTCTATTCATTCGTAACTTTCTGTCATTCACAAAAATGGCCAGACAGGTGTTTTAAGAATTCGTTTCTCAAACCCCACCGTCCTCAAAATGACCAAATGGGAAAATAAACAGATATTATGGCACTGCATTGCCATGCATTGAAAGTCAAGGGAAAATGTTAAACTGAGAAGGCGTCTGTGTCACCATTGAGTTAAAACAAATAGACCAGTTCAGTGAATCAAAGGAATCGGGAATCAAAGTTTTCACCTTTTTACTGATGGTTTAAGTGTGTTAAAAGTCAGTCTTTACTATCGTCTAAAAAGGGTCCTTTCAAAAACAAAGCCACTGAACAAATATAAAGTAAAAAGCACACGTTCTAGCACCCAAGGGCCAATGTCGTCAAAATACATGCAAAATTAAAACAAACCCCCTTAAAATCAATAACATTCAAAAAATACTCCAACATGCCGATTTCTGAAAGGAACCTGCCTTATTAGCATACAAAGCCACTCTGCAAATTTGAAGTAAAACAATAATATGGTTTGGCACTTGCAAAAAAAAAAAAAAAAAAAAAATCATTATCTTTCACATCAAAATAACCCCATTTTTTAAGAGGCCCATTTTTAAAGAAACAATTCTACTAAGAAAATTTAAGAAAAATGAAAATATGGTTTGGCACCTCAAACTGTGACTGCAACATGATCAGACACAGTAATCACAATATAATTACACAGACAAAATAGTGTCTAAATGTAAAAATAGCTACAAAAGACATTATTTCAATTTATCTCATAATGTCCCCTCTCAACCTCTGATGAAATTTAATATTGTGTAACAGACAAAAAATGCCTAAGATTCAGTTGTCAAAAAATGACAGTTGAATCAGTAATAACAAAATATTTTATTTTCTTATGTCATTAGCTTTTTTAGAACAATAAGTATGATTTGTTATGCAAACCTCTCAGTTATAGATTCAGGACATTGGTACAAAAAAGGCTTATTGGAACCAGGCAAATATACAGCAGTGGAAGACTGTAATTAGAACTGGAGGTGATAGATTGGGCATAGGGATAGAAAAATTGCTTCATTTTGTCTCGTTTTGAAAGTTATATTTAATTTAATTTTGTAGGTGTTAAGGTGTACCTAAGAAACTAATGGAAAGGCATGTACCTGCTGATGATCCCCCACCCCCGTGCCATATAACAAATAAAATCACTAAAAAACATACTAGTCACTGTAGGAAATTTCACTGTCCTTTCTGCCTCTGCCTATGAGATCTCTCTTTGAGAAATAAAACTTCATCCCTCTTCCATATGAAATAATGAGCCAGCATGCTATTGCAACACCCCCTATAATATAGGTCCATATCACTGTCCTCTCATCTGGCAGATAACACTTTGAGATGGCATAGTTATTGTTGCTCACCTTAATCTGGAAAAAAATAATAATCAGATGTGAATATTGTTTTACATATTAAGTAGAAGAAAAATAGATATGTCTACAAGTATACATACATTATGCCAAGTCAGTGCATTATATCAGCATACATTGAGTGATGTAATTGTTTGACATTTTTGAACTGGCTGCATCATTTCTTTTAGATTTAATTGATGAAAATCAAATGCTGACAAAGTCACTTAAAAATGTGGTTGTCATCTTGACTTATTTAATGAAAGCCCCAAAGGGGGTGGGGGTTTGGGGAGGTGTGTGTGTGTGTGTGTGTGTGGTGGGGGGGGGGGCACTTGGGCCAATTGTCTTCCAACCTTAGCTTTGGAGGTACATGTACCCCCTTCTCCCAATAAAAAGAATAACAAGGAGACAAAATCAAGCAATTTTCCGATCTTTTGCCCTAATAAAAATGTCTTTATCTACAATCTAATAATCGTTGGGCTAAGTCATATTTTTTATCCTTCTGCCTCCTCTCTCTTCAAAAAATACAACAGGATCTGCCATCTTTATCTGATAAACAAGGCAGCAAAGCTGTCAAATGTACAGACAAAAAACAGAAAATAAAGATGCAAAAAAAGGTCATTTTGTCAATTTTGATGCAATAATAAATAATGCTTATAATAGCACAGTCAGTCAACACTGAATTTTAATCATGCACAACAGGTAACATGGTCAATAACAGGAGCGGACCCTGAGATATTTTCTGACAGTATTCCAGTATCTATGTTGATCCATCCTCCATTTTGATGGTCTTCCAACAGAAAAAAATAGATACCAGTCAATATAAACTTAATAACCTGTCTTCAAGAAGACCCAGAAGATGGTCTCAATCCACCCCTTCAATAAGCTTACAGTTTCAGGACCATGAAAGACTATAGTCACATGATGAAAGTCTCAATATTTGAAAAATGATGACAGTGCTTATGTGGAAATACAGAAAATGTGCAGAGCCTCGAGCGGATGAGAGTTCAAAGTCACAAATGCAAGTGTTTGAGAAAAAATTGTAAAGGAAAACATAACAAAACTAGAAAACCACCGAGAGTGCAGACCTCTGCCAAGGCAGCAATTGTTGATTATTGTTGATTATTGATTGATTATTGAGCCAGACCACCACTAAAAACTAATCATTGTCCTCTTTGGCCCAATTCTGACAGTTACTGAAAATTTTAGCAAAATCGGTCCATAACTTTTTGAGTTATGTTGATGACAGACAAACAGGGGTGAAAATATAACCTCCAGAACCTGAGGTAAATATAATTTCAATGAAGCTGCTATTCAAACTTTTAATCTTTGATTATATATATATATAATAACCTGCATAATTATCACTGCTTCCTTAATATTAATCTAGCAGAGAGCTTAACTTTTGGGAGTTTACAAGGAAACATCAACAAGTGTGCTTTATGTAATCTCCTTTAATGGTCTATCAATTAGGCAAATGACTTTATAACTCAGAAATTAGCTAAGTGATACCCAAGGGATATTAACAGACTGACCCTCTCAAAGGTCTTTCAGGCCCATAAGTCACATCTTAAGAAAAGCACAAAACAATAATGCACAAAATAGGAGACTACCAATTCTGATGCAATAATACATTGTGTTTTACTGCACAGTCAACATCAAATTTTAATTATGCACAACAGGTAACAACGACGAAAGTAAAAGCATAAG